AGCGGCAAATTAAAAATCGTGAAGGAAAATAAAAAGAGATAATTGCAAAACGCGCGTCTTAGACGCGCGCGCGCGCGCGTGTGTGTGTATGATTTAACGAGCAAGTTTCCTTTGCAATCGACAATTAAACAAAGCATGAATTCCCCACCTTTCGTGGAATCGCCGTTCCAGTTGAGCCTGCGCGAAAGACACTGAGCCACTTGGGTTTTTCCACGACCTGGTAGGCCGCACATTGCGATCACAACCCCCGCGAACTTCCGGGGTGACTTGGTTATCCCCGGGGTCCTCACTGCGATTTTATCCTTGGGTTCTGGAAGCCACGAGAAAACACGGTGAATCATCGTGCAATCAATCGTATTTTCGTCGGTGGCCACATCTGTCTACGCGTGGCGACTAACGTTCAGACAAAGAAAGAACGCTTCGCGCGAGAAAAACACCGAGAGAGCCAACACCGCATACACACTGTCGTTCAAAAATTTGGAGCACTCTTTCTGATCGTCTGAACGAACTTCTTAACTTCTTAGAAATAAGAATATCGTGAATGCAATTTCGATCGCGCCAAGTATAATTAATTGAAACGTTATTGGAGGAAGTGATCTAAGCTGTTTCGAAATCTCGAAATATCTTGCTGTAAAATTCCCTAGTGCGTGTGTAGCACGACAATGTTCTACAATGGCACGCGGTTAAAATAGACGAGGAACTTTTTCGCAAAGCGTTTCATTGTCCGCCTCGGACAACTTGTTATATATAATGATCAACTTTAGAAGACGCACCGAGGCAATGACGACAGATGTAGGCACGGTGCCAAGCTATTATAGCTGGTAAGCCAGCCGTCGTTCGAATGATCATTAGCGACGTGAACGCGTGCGTATATACCGAACATCGCGATTGTATTACGATATGAAAGAAACCAACGAGGAAATTAATTTCACGAAGCACAGCTTTCTCTCTGCCACGACGTGCAATAAATTGCTTTGCATGTTCCGTTTGTTTCGGTCGAATGAAATATTCAAGCCGTCCGCGGAACCTCGTGAACATAACAAATAATAAATCCGATGCATCGCGAGATCGAATGGCGTGCGCCACTCGAATGAACGAACGAATTGCATTAGAGATCGAAATCTCTCTTTCACTCGTGCATACTACTATTGATCGGCGGAAGAATGGGTGAAAATAATCCTTACCGATCACACACATGTTCCCTAGAGTGTGTGCAGCGAATCGATAATAGCGAATACGTTTCAACGGTGCAATCGAGGCTAACTCGCAAGCGTGCGAATTTCGATCGAGTACTGACGCGTTCCCGTTCCGCTTCACATTGCGAACCGTGCATTACCGAACTTTATATTTAGACGTCTCTTCCCTTTCGAGCACGACAGCTTTTGGCTACGTTCTGCTGCTTCCTTCGCGGTATTAACCCCGCGGGAAACAGGCTCGTTTCTCTTCTGGCTCTGTTGTCCGAGTAATTTCAACGCTGCGAACTGTTTATGCAGATTTATGTACATTTTGTGGAACTATGGAGGCAATAAATATTAAACGTTTGCGTGTTGATTTGTATTTCTGTTTTTGCTGGGGAATTCAAAGCGAAGTTTTAAAAGTGAAATTAATTCCCGTTTCGCAGAATGCACGTTCTGTCGGACAAAAGCGACGTTGCTCTTTTTTTTTTTTTTTTTTTT